GAGGACTTGACCCAATACAGCTTTCAACAATCCTGGTGAAACACAGACTGCAGAGTTAAGTGGGAGCAGGTGTAGCTCTAAATGCTATGTGGGCAGAACCAGAATCTACATGCAAGATGTCCAATATGACTTGTGAAAAATGCAAACCACAAATGGCCTCTGAAGACTGATAACAGGTAAAAGAGAAAAGAAGACTTGCAATTTCTTTGAAAACTCCTATCATCCATCTACCAAAATGTGTCCAAAATTTCAATGAGAAAAAAAAATCTATCATTTGAACAAAAAAGTGGCTAAAATATTAAGGAAAAACACTGACCACTCCAAAGTTTGGAGCCTTAATTTGACGTAAACACGTCTAAAATGCCAAGCCCATGGGCTAAAATAGCACTGGTCATGGGCCCCTAAAGGTCTTCCCTAGGACTCAGAATTCAGGCCCCCTTCTAACTTTTCATGGCAGAAAAGGAAATTTGGAGTCAGGGTCTGGAGATGTAGTTCAGGTGTGCTGGCTAAGGCTGGGATAACCCTGAACTCCTGATCTTCCTGCTGTGCGCTACTGTTCCCAGTTTAGGAAGCGAGGGTGTAATGATTTAACTAGACCCAAGATAAATGATAAATGGGTGTTTATTGGGGAAGACTTACACAGAAAAATACAAAGAACCGCTGGAGTGCTTCTCTGCCCTTCCTACCGGATCGGCTGACCCAAGAGAAAGACCTGTGCAAGCCAGACACGCCTTAGGCTTCCCTCTTTCCGCTTCCGTCCGCCTGAAGCCATGCCCAAAGGGGTGTGGCCACCGTTGCAGGCAAGACTGCTACAGGTACTTACTAAGCTAGTCTGGCACTTTAACCACTGAGCAACAGCTCCCACTGTAATTAAACAGGAAAGGTCTGAACAGGACGTCACAAATGAAAACAGAACAAAGAGAATAGATTGCCATTAGCACAGAAACATGGCACCACGAAGGGAATTAGTCACTCCAACCAGCTTAGCACTGTACCAAATAAATATTAATCTCCCACCACCAAGAACCTTCACTTCCAATCCCCTAATCTCCATGACTAATTCAAATTGGCATTTTGCTTTCTGTAGCATGGAGTCCAGCCATAGCAATCTGGCAGGCATAAGAAGGAAACCTAGGAGATAAAGAAAGGAAAATAAACCAGTCACAAAAGACACAGAATGATGTCCTGGGCAAGAAAGGCCCCTTGCTGTCATCCTGAACAGAAGGCCATGCTTCAAACAGGTGGTAGGAGAACAAACGAACGTTAAGAGAATCAGACTGGCACACGGCTGAGATATATTGCTAAATACACACCAAGATGTTAGTACAACAAAAGAGAGAGAGAAAGCTAGGGAGAGAGGGAGGGAGGGAGGGAGGGAGGGAGGGAGGGAGGGAGGGAGGGAGGGAGGGAGGGAGGGAGGGAGGGAGGGAAGAAATAAGGACAAACTTGCTTCAGGTCATGTGGAGTCAGGCTGGACATTGGCAGAACATGTTGGTTTTTTCCTGTGCTTCCAATAGTCAATTATTGCCAAACACCTATACCCAGCCTCAGCTCTCCCCCGAACTCCAGATCCACAGAAACACAGAACTTTCATTCAACTACTCTGGGCTGTCTCAAAAGCTCCATTCCTGGCATCCAACACTGAACTTACAGCACCAGGGTTTTTCCTCAACACCACTTTCTGTCCAGGGCTTCCTCTCTTAAGGTGACATCACCATCTTCCATTCAGTTCCCAAGCCAGTAGCTGGAGGAATGGTGTCCAGTGCTTGAATTCTAGGCCATTCCATTCCCAGCTGTGATCTTGGGAAAACCCAATAAGGTATATCCACCTCAAGCTTTGTCATCTAAAATGGAGGTTAAGAGTGTTAACCTCTTACCCCAAAACAGTTGTGAGCACTGAGTTAATATGCACAAAATGCTAAGGACACAGAAAATGTCGTTGTACAAGTAGGTCAGCCTGCTTTCTCACCTTCTCCCATTCCTTACCCCTTTACCTCTATTCCTTCCCACTTCAACTGTTATGTTACTCCCCAAAGAAGTCCTCCCTGACTAATCTCCAAAGTGCAGCATAATTTTCATTCACAACTAAACCCATATATTGACTTGGTAATGGGTTGGTTAATAGTCATCTCCTAAAATAACCTGAAAATTCCTTGAGGACGGGACCTATTCATACATACCTCATTTAACACAGTATCTGGTACACTGCAGGTATTAATTCACTAAGTATTTGTCAAGTGAAGGGTTCAAGAAGCATGCTTCTCAGCAGAATGGGGCCTAAAGGTTTAGAAGAAAAACCACAGGACACCAATACAAGTAAAGGTTCATGGCACTGCTTCCAGGGGGCTTGGTAGAAAGGGTCCCATGAGTCCCATCCCACCCCTGAGAAATCAAAGATTCACTGCTGATTTGACCAGTGTTTCTACCTATTCAAGATTTCATCTCTCAGAAACATCATACTCTGCAGGAACCTTCAGTCCACACCTTAGAGAGCTTTGAGAGGAATGCCTCCAAGCCCTTCCGTAATGCAAACATGCCTCCCCAGTCTGTGTGATTCTAGTTTTTAAAGGCACATATTTTTATACCATGGGATCTCTACACACAGCCAAATACTACATCTGGGGCTCATCTGAAGAAACAACCTTGAGGGTAAAACTGATCTGTACTGGCCTTAAAAGAGAATGTCTTTGTTTTCCTTTTTTTGAGTTAGGGTCTTGAGTTTTTGAAGTGACCCTGAACTCACTATGTACACAAAGATGACCTTGAACTCCTGACACTCCTGTCAGGTATACTCTGAAAATAACAGACTTTCAAGAATACTTTCAGGATAAGGATGTAGTGGAGGAGTGGAGTCCTTACCTGGCATGGGCAAGGCCATGGGGGCTATCCCCAAGTATACACACACACACACACACACACACACACACACACACACACACACACACAGAAGGGAGGGTTATAACATCTAATTAATGTTCATGGTGTGATATAGCCTTCTTGTAATATGGAACTCTAATGTTGAGCTAAGTGTTTAATGTGCAGAGTGTAACACTGAACTCTCCTAAACTTAAGTTCAGATTCTGCCACATACTTGCTATGAATGAAATCTTAGATTTACTGCTTGACCTCTCTTAGCCATCCATCTATACTAATAGAGACAGCAGTGCTTAGAGCTTACATTACATGTATCACATATGGTTCAATTACTATCTTTTAGAGAGTTCTTTGCAAACAGAGCACTGCTTTAAGATCAAGTTCTGTGTCACGTCTAACAGTGTCTTATGCCCAAAAGGCACTCACTGAGACAACTCCAGGATCTTCTTCGGACTGTTTCTTCTCGTCTAAGCTAGCAGTCCACTTCTTAGCGGGAGCGTCTGACTGTACTCTTCTATTTTGAGTAGAGTTGCCTGTACAGAAATGGTCCTTCTTCCTGAGTTCCACAATTGAAATGTTATACAAACCACCACCCACTTATTTTTGTCTTTCATGTTAAATAATAAGCCTAATTTTTTTTGGTTTTACAAGACAGGGTTTCTCTGTTTTGGAGGCTGTCGGTCCAGCCTGGCCTCGAACTCACAGAGATCCGCCTGCCTCTGCCTCCCGAGTGCTGGGATTAAAGGCGTGCGCCACCAACGCCCGGCTAATAAGCCTAATTTTTTTTGATAGTTTCTCTCTTGTACGTGTACACACACATCTTAATAATATACTTTCCCTAAAAAGGAACTTAGAGATACTACACAAGACAACAGCTATGGACATAGGAAAAAAAATCTAAGCTTTTTACCCAAAGGAAAACACCAAAGAATTAGAAGCTGAAACTACCTAAGCTATGGTGTGAACAGAAGAAACTGAATATCATTATACCTGTGCCATAATATTTTGTATCTATTCCATGCAAAAAGCAGTAGTTGCTTATACTTACAGACCAATTGCTATCTAAATGGCATTGTCTGAGGCACTGAGAAAATACAGAACGACTACAGCCTTCCAGAAGCTTACTACATAATTGGAGACACACAGCAAATGGAAAGCAGTTAATACGGCATTAAATGAGTAATAATAAAGAATAAGGCAAACAGGAGACAAGATGCTTTAGGAAATGTGGAGCTCTCCTGAAGAAAGTGCTCCACGGTTAAGTAGATGGAAGGGTATGGATGCTTTAGACACACCTAAGAGCAATAGCTACTCTCTGGTTTATTCTAAAGAAGGAAAGGAGACAGAAACAGAAAAGATTTAAGAAAAAATATACAAGCAAAAGAACAGAAAGTGTAATGCTTGAGTGATGAGGTAGTTTTACATCTTTCTTGCAAGAAAATAGAGAGCAACCAAAAAGCCATGCTCCTCAATAGAAGACAATGAAATACATCTGACAAGAAAGCACAAGAATAAATGATTTGGGAGGAAGAAAAAAATCAGTAAGAACGTGGGGAACAAGAAAGGGTCATGGGGAAGATACAAAGTATGATATATACATATACATATACATATACATATACATATATGAAACGTTACAGTGACCCATGCCTGCAATTTCAACTCTTAGAAGGTGGAAACAAAAGGATCAGCCTCAGATACACAGAGCATTTGACATAATTTTGATGAGATCTTGTCTCACCCTACCCAAATGAAGAAAAACATGTTAAAATGAAGTCCATTACATTGTATGCTAGCTTTTAAATATTTAATCATTTTAAATGCTATATTTCTTTCAGGATTTTCTTTGTAAGAGTTGTTTTTATTGTTAAGTGTGTGTATGCACACGTTTCTGTGTGTGGATATATGAACATGCATGCAAGTACCCATGGAGGCCAGAAAAGGATGTTGGACTCCCTGGAGCTGGAGTTACAGGTGGTTGTGTGCTGCCTAATATGGGTGCTAGGGTCTGAACAATGGTCCTCTGCAAGAGCAGTAAATGCTCTTAACTGCTGAGCCATGTCTCTATCCACAGTACAAATTTTCTCTCAATTCTTTCACTGATGCAAGCCCACATCATTACTTACCCGAATAAGAGATGCCTGGCGATGGAGGGGTTTGACTCCTGGACCCTCTGATGAGGATCCTTCAGGCTGGCCAATGGGCTGCCTAGTTTCATAAGGAGCTAAAAAACAAGACAGAATGTTAGAAGGATATGCAAAGATTCTACTTCAAAATTATTATTTCACACTCAAACTGATGTAGCATGTGCTTTTCAAAAAAAAGGTAATGAAGGAATCAAAGTTTATAATCTGAGAGCTACATAAGACTCATAAATCCTGATCCTCTTGCCATCCTAATTCCACTAAACAATCTAAAGGTATCTAACCAATATCACTCACACCAGGTTAAGATTAGGAATAAAATGAGAGAGTAATACAGTGAGAGCCTCGATGACATTTAGAAAGAGTGAATTAATAGCTAGAAACTTGCCATATTACAAGTATTCATTTTTTTTTATTCCTGCTTTTTGTGGTATCTTGGGCCATGCTTTGAAGTGGTGGGGCTCACTTTTGTGTTCATTCATGGTTTCAAAGGATGTGACTTTAGCCTAGAATGAACACTGGCAGTAGGTCAGAATTAATCAAAGGACTGATTTGAATGACCAGCAGCTCTATACTTATGAATTGCATCTAGGAAATGATGGTGCTTTGCCTGGATGGCTGGTGGCATCTTTTGACTTCCTTCATCTTTTCTTCTAGCAGAATCAAAATTGAAGCATGATATCCACTATTCCAATTGAAACTTCTATCACTTAAAAAGAAATGAATTCAGGTAGTGGTTTCTCCTTACCAATTTCATGCCATATTCAAATCAAGTTTACATTTATTTGGGAAGAGAAAAATAAAAGGGAACAATAGCCTTGGATTTAAAAACATGAATTAGGAGAGGAAAAACTCAATTGTGCATCAAGTAGAAAACTCAGGAATCCAGAATAGTTTTTTCCCTAGTTCCCAATTAAATACAGGAACTATACTATACATTTTAGAGGGAATGACGAGTGTACTGCCTATTTGAGGTTGACCTAATGTATGTATGTATGTATGTATATATATTATATATATATAATGCCTATTAAAAACTATCGCTTTATTTTAAGTGTTTGGATGTTTCACCTGCGTATATGTCTCTATAACATGTGTGTGCTTGGTACACATGGAGACCAGAAAAAGACATTGGATCCCCCAAAACTTGAGTTATGGACAATTGTAAGCTTCAGTGTGGATGCTGGAAACTGAACAAAGGCATGCTAGACAGTAATCTCTCCAAACCCAAAAGGTATCATTTTAAATAAAGAACTTGCTCTGCAGTCCATATTTATGAACTCTTTCAGTAGGAAAAGGGAAGGAGTTTCCTCAAATTTTTATTTTGCAATGAAGATTTTTGTTAAAATTTAGTTTTCTGAGGGCTATAGAGGTGACTTAGTGGTTAAGAGTACTGGTTCCTTTTTCAGAGGACCAAGGTTCAATTCCCAGCACCCACATGGTTGTTCACAACCAAATATAAGTCCAGTCCCAGGAGAACCAATGCTCTATTTTGGCCTCCACTGGCACTACATATCCTCATTGTATAGGCATACATGCAGACAAAACACACACACAAAATAAAATAAAGGTTAAAATTTTTGAATAAAAATAAATCTTATATTTTAAAAATTATAGATGCCAAATCTAATTATAATTTATATATGCATTCCTATTTAAATGTATTCATCATATAACCCCCAAAGAAAACTCATATGAACTTTAAACACTAAAACCCAACATTATTATTTATTATAGAAACAAATTGTTGTCTTCTTTATTGTACAGAATGCAAAAACAAGTATATGAAAAATGAGTAAGTGTAATACATATTTATTATTCTGTAAATCAATAACCAAAATATTTTGTGATTTTATTACCCTTAAAATAAGCTTCTAAACCATAAAAAATGCTATTCTTTACTTATTTTATTTCCAGAACACCTGACCTTGCCAATATGGTAGCAAGACTGTTAATTATAACCAGTTCCAACAGAAAGGAGAAATTATCACCCAAAATGAATCCATTTCTCATCTTTGTGGGCTAACACTTTGAGGTTTTAAAATACATAAACTGCTTCTTCCTATAGCTTACTTATAAATAAAATTGGGTGGAGAGCAGAGGTGGATGTTATGGTGCCATATTCAGCATAGTTTGATCTTTTTAAAATAAAGAAGGTACAACAATAACACATCAAGAACACCAAACTGACTGGACATTGTGGCATGCACCTGTAAGCTTAGTAGGCAGGAAACCGGAAGGACAGAAGGAAGGAAGGAAGGAAGGAAGGAAGGAAGGAAGGAAGGAAGGAAGGAAGGAAAAATGAAGGGAGGAAGGGGGAAAGAAAGAAGGATGGAAGCAAGCAAGCATTCAGACTCACATCTATTTTGCATTTCTTCCTAGCAACTAGAAGACAAAATTATAACACATTAAAATATCCAAATGATTGCCTAGCAACATATTTAGTGCATTTCAGAACCTACTAGGAATAGATTCAAATGCAAATACTACAAAAGAAAATTCATAGAGAGCACATGATCTGTGTCTTCAAAAGTAATTTTTCAACTTGTAGGCAGGCATTGTCCTCTGGCATGTTTTTTTCAAAATCACTCCATGTTGATAGAACCACATTGAACTCTTCATACCAACTGAACGTTGCCAAAAGGTTTTAAGCACAGTACGCGAAGTATGGCTAGGATCCTAGTGCTCATGAGCTCAAATGAAACCCATAGACCTGTGCCTCCCATAAAAGAGAGGGTGTGTCTACTACCCAGAGGAGACCCACTGGGGAGGAGGGTACCATGTGACCCTCAGCTCAAATCCCTCACCTACAGGGGTCTTACCATGGAGAGATAGATGTATTTCACCAACCAAGCTTTGATGGAAACTCAGCTACAAAGGAGCTTACTTTGGATTTTTTTCTTACTTTAGGGAAAGGCTGGGCTGGCCAAGGCTGCCTGTTACTGAAAAATCAGTCATATATCTCTAAAGGGTGTGCTCCATTTAGCTACATGAGCAACAAAGCTGATAATTAGGCCAGCAGCAATCTGGTTTCTAGGTTGCTCCTCAAATGAATCAAAATTCAGAAAAAGGGTACATATTACTTATTACTTCAAATCTTTTCCTTCCCAAATAAAATTAAAAACACACAACTCAAAAGCAAACCAAACCACCTTTCAATTCCTTTACAAGAGGTTTCATATGGAAGTAGACACATCATCTTTCTCCAAGGAGAAGACTATTTTTTAAAACCATAAAGCATTCATTACTCTGAAACTGTGAAACTGTGACTGTTTTTACATACCTACCCAAAAGATTCTACACCTAAGTGTCAGAGAAATGGCAACCTAAGTCACAAAAAAACCCTCATGAACAAGTATTTTCAGTATTCTTATTCATAATAGCCAAACACTACAAACTACCTAAATGTCCATCAACAGGAGTTGATGGGAGATGTCCTTCTATATGCTGTGAATATATATTTCTCTTATTGGTTGATCAACAAGGCTGTTTCAGCCAATGGACAGGCAGGATTTAGCCAGGCAGGAAATTCAAACAGGGATAGTAGTAGTAGGCAGAGTCAGGGAGATGCCAAGCAGCTGCCGAGGAAGCAAGAGACCTGGGCATCACCAGTAAGCCAAGACCATGTGGAGATACACAGATTAATAGAAATAGGTTAATAATTAAGAGAGAGATAGCCAATAAGAAGCCTGAGCCATCAGCCAAACAGTTTATAATTAATATAAGCCTCTGTGTGTTTATTTGGAACTGAACGGCTGGCTGCCAGACCTGGTCAAACAGAAAATTCCATCGATAAGAAGGACCATTAATCCATGATTATCTGTGCAATGAAACCTACTGAATAATAAAGTGAAAGGAACTACCAATACAATGATATGAATTTTGACTGTTATTTTGAGGGAAAGATAGCATACAGAAGTAGAATCATTCCACATATTTCCTTTGGCATGAAGTTCTACAAGAAAAAAAACTGATCGACAATGATAAAAATCAGTTCAGTGCTGCATTTCAGGACATGAAGCAGCTGGGAAGGGTCATCTGCAGTGCAATGGGAACATTTTTTTATCTTGATGATAGCTAAATGAGTATACTGATTTGTTAAAATTCAAATTAATTACTTAAAATATGCACATTTTATCATACATAGATTTTGCCACTTTAAAACAAGTATAAAAAGGAATGAGGGCATACAGAACCTAGCCATCAACTCCTCAGAGTCCAGAAAGAGGGAAGTGGATGGTCTCTTCAGTGCTGCAAGAATGGGAGCCCACTTAAAATAGGATGAGAGGGTGGGGCAAGAAACAAAGGACACAAACAAGGACTATGAAAGGCAGAATTTTAATGATAGAGTGACTTAATAGACGACAAATAGATTTACCTATGAAGTAAACATTAATTTCAAAGCCCAAATTAGATTTGAAATAGAAGAAACAATTCCCCTTCTTCAAAAAAGGCAAATCATACAATGGAAACTGCAAGAGGAGAATGAAGATTTCTCAACCCTGTGTAGTTTTCGACAGCAATGAGATAACCAATTTTCAGGAAATTTTGTGTTGTTTTGTTTTTCTTTTTTTTGTTTTGCTTTGGTTTTGTTTTTTTTTACTATCCATTAGGAACACTATCTTCTTACATTGCATAGAATATCATTTTCAAATGAGTTTACACTGATATTTCCATTGACTCCTAACATCCTCCTCATTCTTTTTTAAAAAAAATATGGTTCAGAGATACACAATAACTTGCGTAAAGTCATGCAAGGTCCTCCTAAACCCAACCTTCTGATTCTAACCCAAAACTCTTTCCATCATGTGCTACCTGCTTCTCTCAGCAAAAGGACAGTTCAGCCTAGCATATCTTTGTATTTCTCTGACCCTCTAGAAGTCACCATCTTTTTTCAATGCAGCAAAATCCTGCAGAAACTGGGTCATTTCCATTTCCACCACATCCCACAAAATGGGCAGAGGCTATAGGACATTCTACTCTAGAATACATTCAATTGGTCATATCTGAAACTAGAGGTGTGGAGGACAGAAGGACAAGATGCTGCAGTGAATTTATGGAGCTTCCCACATTGTAGTCTGAGAAGCCAACTCTGCAAGTCATCCTGAGAACCAACTCATATATTTAACCCCTGAAATAAGCAGAACATAAATATGAGCAAGCAGACAGCCCCATAACTGTGCATGCTGCATGATTCTCAGCAAAACGCTACTCCTAGCATTTCCCTCATCTTTATCCTAAAATATAAACGCTCAATATTTTAATTTATGTCTCTGGCCTTTAAAGATTGGATAACTCACTTGCTTTTGCATAGTTATATTTTTAAAGAATTTTCATAAAAGCAATTATTGAGTAAATGCATTTAATGTTCCTGCAGAAGGGAATAACAATTCTCAAAAAATGCAAACCCCTAGCATGCTACATTCCTTTAATGAAATTTGTATATGAAATATTAAATCATCTAAATAGTTGTTTACAAGTCTAAAGACGAACCAGTTTCCAGGCTAAGAAACAAAGCATTGCTGAGATATGCTTAATTTCATTAAAAAAAAAACTTTGCTTGAGAAAATAAAATGAAATTGAGCCATGTTTCCAAAGACAAGAGTAATTAAATCAGGAAATTAAGCAGCTGGTGGCATTGCTGCCTGGTAGATTAAGGAGACTCTAAGACATTGACTGTGACAGCTGCCCCCCCCCCTGGTCGCCTCTTACCTGGATGCATCTGTTCTGTGCCGCTCCGCAGTTTGCTGTAGCCATGGCTCAAGGACACCCTCTGGTAATGAGGCGGGGAAGAAGGAGGGGAGGCGAGGGGTGACATCGTGGGAGACTGTGATTCCTGCTTCAAAGAATCAGAGCAGAGTTCAGAGGCAACCACTGGAAAAACCTGGCATTCTGAACTACAGTTTAAAAAGCAAAATGTGACTCTGCAGCTGGTGACCTGGCTGATTTAACAAATGGGGAGAAATATTTCCTCAAAAAGGCAGCATAGCAAAAGGGTAGTATTGAGGATTCAAAATCACTAGTGCTGTGCCACCTAAATTACTAATACCAGCCAATTAGCTCAATAAGACACTGATCAAATAAGAGAACACTTATAACCCTCAATTGTGGACAGATTCCATTTTCAGTCAATTAATAAATTAATGAATCTTCCTTTTTAAGACTCCTACTTATTGAATTTATATTCAAGTATAAATCTAGAATATACAATAAAATTTATATTTCCCATGTTTAATAGTGGGTATTCTTGGAGCTTACTATAAAAATAAATGTTGGGAGAGTTGTTTCATATGGAGAGACTCCAAAACATGGCCACCCCATTTAGTATACTCCAAAATACTAAGACGAAGCATTCATAAGTACAATTGGAACCCCAACTCAACTATGAACCTGATACAGAACACTAAACCAAGTAACAGCCTGAGCCTGGCTTTCCTCCTTTTTTTCCACTAGCAATAGACTGTAAGCGTGGGCTACCCAAAGAACAGGGGAATGGTGCTTTTTATAACAGAGACTATATTGGCTTCTTTAATTTAAAAACAAATATGCAATCTGAGAAAGAGACTAGACCTGAAAACTTCCCAGGATATCTGTCACTGTGAGACAGTGAATTCTCAGTGCTGTAGACACATACCAAAGTATACCTATACAAATCCCTATGTCTCTCTAGCATACTACCTAAATAATTAAAGCAACGTTACATGGAGCTGTTTAACAAAATGAGCTATGCCTCTTTTAACTCAGACCATAAACATAAACATAAAACTCAGGCCAGGCATAATGTAGCACACTTATAATCCTGGTAACCCTGATACCAGCCTGAGATATATAGAGAAAGTCTGTGCCAAAAAATAAAAAATAAAAAATAAACCTGCAACCTTGAATATCCAAGACCATCAAAATAAACCATGTAAGTTATTTTCTAGTATAACCTTTTGATATTTATTGCATTTTTAAAAACATCTTAATTCATAGCCAAGCATTGGTGGCACATACCTTTAATCCCAGAACTTGGGAGACAGAGGCAGGTGGACCTCTGTGAGTTCAAGGCCAATTTGGTCTACAAAGTAAGTTCCAAGACAACCAGGACTGTTACACAGAGAAACCCTGTCTCAAAAAACAAAACAAAACAAAATCTTGATCCAGTTCTTCCTAAAATATGTTTTTTTACCTTACAGAAGACAGTACTGAATATAATCTGACTTCTCTGCATGGCTCTGTATCAGAAGCAAGAGTTATATCATGATGTCGTTGGGGTATACGAATATGAAAACTGTCTCTTCCTAACAGGCCCACTCTAATGGCATCCTTTTGTCTCTATTAATCACCTGATGGCTGCAATCAGTGGCCTGATTTTAAAAGCCCACCCTCCAATTCTGGTTGCAAGCCCACTAAGCTGGTAATAGCATTTACTTCGATGCTGTTTCACATGTTTCCCAAGAAAGGATTCCCTGGTAAAAAAAGACTTTGGTAAACACAGATCTCCAGGTCTCTTTATGACAGACCTGCCTGTCAGTGTGCACTCTTAATTCACTAGGCTGATGATTTAGTCTTTCCCCTAGGAATGGGGCATGAGGACATACTTGCCAAACATGCTTAATCACAGGATCCTTTGGGACTTCTTTTTGGAGGGGAGCACTTGCTAACTCCTAGAAGTTATATTTTTTCTCTTTGGTTTTAGTTTTGTTGTTTGTTTCCATATTGTTTTAGAAGTTACATGTCAATGAACCTATTTAGAAAACCACTGACCTAGAGAAATTAAGTAAGTGTATTAAATCAAAATCATTGTTTGAGGTACAATTCTATACGAAGGCAGATTCTAAAGGGTCAGTGGGTGGCTAGCAGTAATTCCTATGTGTCAGCTTCTTCTTGTTACAAGAAAACTTTCCTGGCTCACTTCCAAATTTGTAATTGTGTTCCAGATGGCAAGATTTGCTGGGAGTTTGGCGACAGACCAGACTGTGCTCCATGAGGCTTCACGGTCAGAATCAAATGAACACGCTGAATCACACTCTCACCTGTTTATCCTCATCGTCCATTCTTTTTAGGGAATTCTTTTCCGTGGGTAAGTATGGGATCTGAACCTTCTTTCCGTGAAGCTCAGCTGGGTTCCCAAAGCGCATCTCACCATCACTCTTTGCCATCCCAAAGCGAGGCAGAGGCAGTTCTTTAGAAGCAGAAGCAGAAAGGCTTAAGTGAGGCCTTATCTTAAAAATGCAAAAAGGGGATCCATTTTTGAGGGAAAATTTCAGAGCACTAAATATAGTTTAAATTTTAGTTCAGGCACAATGGAGACTCCTATAATAATGTCATGAGAAAAAAATGTAATGCTTAACCAAGGTATTCCAGCTTAACATTTCCATGCTACTAAATCATCACAGAGCAGATTCAGGTTTGGGACTAGCTCCCACTTGATCCTGCAGAAAAAGGATATGAATTTTATCTAAACAAGAGGCAACAATAGCCAGCAAAGCTTATAACCACTTAAATACACCAGATGCAGTGTCAGGGGTCTGCAAATACCAACCCATACATCTTCACAGCAATTCTGTAAGATAAACTAGCATTAGCAGCTCCCTTTACAGCTGTGGAAAATGGCATGAAGAAGCTACGGAATGTCGCCCCAGTACCACACAACTAATCTCTGGGAAAGACACAGTTTGAAGCCAAGTGAGTTGGTCCTTACCAATGCCCTACATTAATGTCCACTCCCTTCCTGGGGCAAACTTAATGGGTTGAATAGTTTCCCACTCGATATAATTCTTTTATGAGTTTTCACCCAATCTCCCGTTGCCTATTGATAACATAATGAAGAAAGTGTTATGAAGTCAGAGCAATTGCTCTAACATTTTACCAGATTCTAAAGTCAAAACCATTGGCCACCCGCAGTTTGACAAAGAGCTGTCTGATATATGTACTCATCTTTCAAATTCTGACATAACTGTTCTGAAACGAAAATGGTGCTTTGGCATGCTTCTAATTCTCAGCACAGCAAGCCACACATAAGCACATGACACAAAGATCCACAAAAATAAGGATAATATTGTGGATTAGGCATAATGATTTGCATCTGTAGCCATTGTTCAGGAGAATTCCCAGTGTGCCTTTGCACTTCTGTCATCCCTCCACTCCAAAAACACAGCTGTGTTTCCAATGATGGATGCTGTGCTAAAGCCAGGAAACATCTTAGCAACAGCAAGTATGCTACTCCCAAGGCAAAGAAGGCCCCTGGTTCTCTAATATCCACATGTTTATTTTTAGTTGCTATGTCCACATTTGACTCAAAGAAGTGGGCAATTATGACAAATCCCTGTGGAACCGATCAGCTAAGGGCCCAAGAGTCATAGAGATAAATCAATCTGAAAACGAAAACAAGATTTCTCTCTAAAGAAAGATGGTCACCATGTTTAATGTTTTAATGTTTCCCAGCCATGGGCAGCTCTCTAGCACTGAAGGCGGAAATGAATTTCAAAAGGAAAAAGGTAAAAGAAACTCCAGAGTCTTATTGAGTCACACAGAAGAAGTCAGTCCTGTGGTGCTGTTCACAGAAATATCTTTTTCAGCTGGGTCTGACAAATGGATCTAGAAATATAGGACAAGAGCATACAAAATACTCTCTCTACTCTGGCCTTCCCATGAGACCATTAGTCTACTGCAGGAGATTCTTGGTACTTACAAGCTCCCTGGCCAGTGCTTTACTGGCATTTGGTCAAGGGAACAATGGAATACAACTGTAACATTACACATGTTAACAGCTGTACCAGGACTCCCAGATACCCTTAAAGACAGTGTCACTTCACATATTTCCCAACCTTGGTTATGGGCACCTCTCCAGAATCAATTCAAATCCCCAGAACGTATGCAAAAATCTGGGCATGGCTGTGTGTGCCTGTAATGCCAGCACTATGGAAGGAGACAAGAGTATCCCAATAAATTGCCAACCAGTTTGTATAGCTGAAAGAGCAAGCAGTCTCCAGTTCAATGAGAAACCCTGTCTGAATTCAATAAAGTGGACAGCAGTAGAGAATGACATATGACATGAACCTCCATTTGCACAAGTATAGGTGTGCACATACAGACACATACATGCACCACATACACAGAGGGAAATAGAACACAAAAAAGAAAAAAGTAAAATAAATTGGTCACAGGAAACAAATAGCATATGATTCCACTTACATCAAGAATAGTAAAATGAATACAAATAGAAAGATAAAGAGTAATTGCCAGCGATAAGGAGTGAAGAAGAAAGGGGTAGTTGTTTAATCAGACTTTCAATTTTACAAGGCAACGTGGGAAATTTCTAGAAAATGCACGTATAATAAAATGAATAGACCTAAAACTACTGAATTTCACACATAAAATGGTTAAGATAGGAAATTGTGTGCTATATGAATTTTATAACAAGAATTTTTAATTTTAGTTGAAATTTTAAAAGGTCAAATTAGGCCAGGCAGTGGTAGTACACGCCTTTAATCCCAGCACTCAGGAGGCAAAGGTAGGTGGATCTCTGTGAGTTCGAGGCCAGCCTGGTCTATAGAGAGAGTTATAGAACAGCCAAAACTACAGAGAAAGCTTATCTCAAAAAAATCAAATTAATTTTAATTATTTTAACTTCATATCATTATTTCAACAAATGACAAAGTTTTCAAGGGTATTGAGATAGCACAGCAAGGACATAAGCACCCTGCCTAGCATACTTAAGTCCCTAGGTTTGATTCATTATATAGCCAAAATATAAACATATCAAGGAAGTAGTTTACATTTGTTTTTACTGAAAACTCTTCAAACTCATGTGTATACTTTACTCTCACTACATACCTCAAGGTTTATCACATTTTAAGTGTTCAGCAGACACACATGGCTATTGGCCACCATACTGGAATAGATAAAACACAAGGAAATATGGGTCACTGTGTTTGGAAATGTGTATCTTATTAAGAACTATTATAATGTTAAACGGCAGCAAGTGAGTCTTCCTCAAGTACTCAAAGGATATCTGTAGGCATACAAATCATTTGAAGAGTTTTGACTTGCATGTATGTGTGTGTATGCCAGAGACAGGGTAGGGAAAGAGAACTAATATACAAATTAAAATACCAAATTTTCTTTCATTTTCTTTTTCAGTTCCCTTCCTCCTTTTCTCCACTGTCAGTGTGCAGTTTCCTGGTAAGATCCAGAGCTTTAACTAGATAAAAGAATCAAAGATGGGCCAGCAAGACCACTCAGTGTATAAAGATGCTTGTCATCAAGCCTGACAACCTGACTTTCATCCATGGGACCCACGTGGTAGAAGGAAAGAACCAACTCCCAAAAAGTGTCCTCTGACCTCTACACACATACCATGGTGTGTATCTACAAGCTCATGTACACACAGACGCACAAATTAAATGTAAATCCTATAAAAGGCATGTATAAGTAAATGAATAAGTGAACAAATAAATAAATAAATAGCACTGCTCATAAGATTGAAGATGACCATGGGGAGACAGGAAGCAACCATAGAGCTGTGGAGATATGGAAGGCCTAGAAAACAGAACTTGTCAACCATACAGTGGGGATCACTGTGTGTAGGGGAATTTGTTCAAAGGAGCTCTAGCTCCTCATAGGAAGACTGAGAAGGGGAGAAGTTATGAAGGGTGCTGCTAAAAGAGCCACTGAATTTTAAAAGGATTGAGATGAATATTAGGTAAAAAGGCTCAACTGACCTCAGCTTAATGGGAAATCCCAACATAACATTTAGTATTCAAATGTCTATCTCTGCTCAGGGAAGGAATTACCCACAACCAGGATCACTGGGTCACATCCCTACCTCCTGGGTCCTCACTCCAGCCCTGGCCATCCTATCCCACCCACCCTAAGGAGTTGTCTGTCCTACAAGGCACCATTCAAAAGATTTATCTTCTAGCTTTCAAAGATAAAGGTATGCCGAATAAGCAGAGCACAGAGCCCACCCCTCCCCCAACCCTCTCAGTTTCATCAGGGAGTCTCTGCTTCTGTGTGTGTGTGTGTGTGTGTGTGTGTGTGTGTGTGTGTGTGTGTGTGTGTCGGGGGGGTTGGATAAGATAACTCTTGTTTGAAGGGGGGAAAGCCAATGAAACAAGAGTCACTGCTCCAAAATCTTCCCACCTCACTCAGGATCTAGGGAGGCAGCAGGGTTAGAATCCCCACCGTGCCTATAAGGGTTTGCTTCTCTTCTTACAGGCAGCTTCCTCAGTGTTGGCACTTCCTTGCATAGTAGACCGGACAGTTTTCAGTTGTGGCGGAAAGGACCCTGTTCCATACAGTGCATGCATTTAGTACTATCACTAGCCTCTACCCACTGCATGCTTATAGCATCCTCTCTACAGTTATGACAACGAAAACTGTTGCCATACACTGGCTAATATCTCCTGAGGGTACAAAGTCCCCTGGGTTGACAATGGCCATTTTCCAGCAAGGAACCACGGAAGTAAAATGGTTTGCCTAAGGATCTATGCAACGGTAGGTTTGAAATTATAACACGGCTCATACATTTTGTGATTTCACAGAACAATAAAAACCTCTACCATCTCACCACAGACCAACATAAAGTTGTAAAATTTTTGCTTTGCCAAGAATTTGAAGCCTGGTGTCATTTGGGAGTCCGTAGCACTTGGATAGCCATGAGTTCAGGGCCAGTTTGGGCTACAGCGTGAGAACCAGCCTCAAAATATAACAACAAATATTTTTAATCCAAACCACAATTCATTGTAAGTTTGCTAAAAGGACACCTAACAATAGGGGGAAAACTTTTAGAAGTGAACATATTGATGCTATACATAAATTATCTTTCCTCCTAGTTCTCTCTCCTTCCATTGCAAATAGTGCCAGAGTACCAACATAGCATGAATCATTCTGGAGAAATACAATGCTGAAGGCAACAGGAATGACACTATTGCACTACTGGGGCTCAGAGATCCCAAGGGGACTGTAGAAATGAAATCAAGGGCTCTGTTACCTGGAAAAGAGCAGGAAAACCCACAACTATATTTCCCCTATCATAACTGAAGTTAAAGCCTGCCTTTCCATTAAACATGGAGGCAGCCAGCCCCTATGGCATCATTATAGTACTTGAAACCTTCCAGTTTTTTTCATCATTATAAATGTAAACAGCTTTATTTTACATGCTCATTACTGCTCTGCAGGTATGGTAGCTGTTTCAACCACTGTGGGACCTTTTATGTAATGCATTTAATAAAAAATATTATGTTAGCATATCCATTATTATGGATATACAACTGGATATGCTAACATAATTGCCTTCCTTTCTAATCCTGTACCTTTGTACACATTTGAAGTATAGTTCTGGACTGGGGTAGAGCCGAGTAGAAAAGCATATACTTAGTATGCCCAAGGCCCTGGGTTTGATTTCAAGGACCCTAAAAGAAAAATAAATAAGCCCAAGAAGAATTCAATTTGCCAAAATGGTGTGTAACACTCACCAAAAGATTAAGAACCCAACCCTTTATCCTGCATAACTCTCCCTTAGTTCTCACACATGCTCAAGTTCATTCCCCAGAAAGGAAAGATAACAGGAATTCTCTGTGCTCCATAAGTTGTTTTCCTACCCACCCCTTAAACTGTTCAGCTACTCATTTAACTCCAGTTGCAACTAGAATACCAAGAAACTTAGTACCAGCATTAGGGAGGCATTAACTGGGAAGGTCATATAAACACGTATCTAGCACTTAAACAATACTGATATTAAGTGTTTCCTTAAATGATGTGCCCAATCGTAAAATATATTTGTACTGTAAGCAAATTTCTTGGAAACATCTCACATGATGTTCATGAGAAGTTATTCTCAACCTTGGTTCCACTTAAGAATCACACAAAGCTCTCAGAAGTCCTACTGCTCTGGATGGGCCAGGCTAATTAAATATAAATTTCCCATATTTTCACTTTTTGTTTAAAGCCCTCCAGGTGATTGTCAAGGGAACTGAGATGGGCGACAAGCAGCCCAGAAGGACTTCTGCAAAATTTCTTCAAATTTCCAGGGACTCTGAATTCTGATTGATATAGTTTAGAATGACAACTGATTAAGATGCCATCCCCATGTGCCACCACCTGGATCATCAGAACACCAAGAAGGCTAAGGATGTAGCTCTGTAGTAGAATCCTTGTCTAGTATGCACAAGATGCCCTGGGTTCCATCTCAACTTGGGAAAGGGCAAAAAACCAAGGCAGAACTCTTGAAAAGATACATTCATTCTGCCAACATCTTAGTAACCCAAAAGTCATCAGAACAGTTCACTCAGGAACATGGAATTAAAAGATGAGCAGATAGGAAAGAGAGAGAGAAAGGGACAGCCAGTTCCATGTAACTCTTTCATTATGCCATCCTAATCCCTAACAGTCTTAAATGATATTACTGCTACCTCAAGTGGAAAATTAAACTGAATGGTATTATTCTGTCACGGACTGGAGAATTCCTGTCCCAATCTCATCTCACTAAAGAAAAAAAGCTATCTTAACTGCCAGTTACAGGGAACTAATCCTAGGTCACTCTATGAAATTTTCCCCATTTGAAAAAGAAAAAAAAGAAACCAAAGCTACCTGATGAGTTTTCTTATTTTATTTACCACCAAATATAAAGAAAGCTAGGAGAAATTGCACAAAAGCTTTTAGAACAGGCCTTAGACACACTAAAAAGAGTTCACACAAATAAAAAATCTGTTGTGGACAATAAAACATATAAATGTGAGCTACTCACCACATTTAATACTCTCTGTCCGCACAGGGAGGCCGGACTGTGCTGCAGCAATCAATTTCAGGGCAATGTAAAACTGTGTTGGACCAAAATAACCAACCCGCTTTGCACCACACAGTTCTGTGATCTGAAAGAGACAAGAAAAATGATGCTGTAAACCCCACTTCATAACAGGAAAAATGAGACAAAGCTATACAATGAAAGCTTGAGATTTCACAGCATAACTAACCAAAAAATCCCTTGGGAACCTACTTGTATGCAATGGTTGAGGGTTTACCCCCTCTGATTTACAGAGATTTTTTAAATTCAAATCATTAATTTCTACCTATTCACAATGTTTCAGAACTGACTATTCTTTCTCCTTTGAAAACAAAAATAAAGATGACAAACAATGGCTGTTACTCTTCTTATAAAAAAGAATGGATGACTTTTCAAGGGAGTAGATTCTAATGTACAAAGTCTAGAAAGTCATTGGAGTGAAGAGAACAGATTAGTCATTACCACTACGTATGTTATCCTGGTTTACCAAATTAGAATGTGAACTACTCAAGAGCTAGGAATGAAACTCAGCAGTAGCTCACTTGCCTACCATGCACAAAGCCCTAGTAGGTTCAACCCCAGTATCACAAAAATAAAGTTCTCAGCCAAAGTCACTTCTTAGTAAATTATACTTCAGGTATCCATTTCAAAGAAATAAAAAATACCATGCACATAAATACTTAACATTGCAATAACTGTTGGTCCCATTCTGTCACCTACAATTAGAACGTCTTCCTCCACATTTAGACTGAACTCAACTGTTTCTCTCCTACAGATCCTTCCGAAAATCTTGGATATAATAGTTTATTTTCCCAGTGCATTCTGAAAGCACTCTATTCAAATATCAAAAAAATGCCTATCCCATGATACACCGTCTTGGATGTACTTCAAATAAGACTAAGCATGTGGGGGAATCAGGCGTAACCAGGAGTTAATAATTGTTGAAGTGAGTGAGCTTCATAGTGGTTCATTCTCCAAATTCAAATTTCTATACTGTCCATTTCAGCATTTACCACATTCTACTTTAGTTCTTTGTTTTGCTCTGCCTCCCATTAACAAAAATTCTCTTCAAGACTAGATGCAATTTTCTTTTACCTCCTAATACAGAAATAGACACCCGAGATGCAATCAATTCTCAATCAAGTACATCAAATGTGCACTCAAAATAAAATGCAACTGAATTTTATAATGCGTTCACTGCTATGAATATGTAAATCATACATCCTAAGTTATAGATACGACTGTACATGGAGAACATGGGCAATAGCATTTGTGTTGTTTAAGTATGAAGATAGATGTCTTACAGGATAATTCCTAATATAAAGAAATTATAGTCCTTGGAAGGTGAGTAAATGAACTATTGTTCATAAAGTGAACAATTACATTTGAAAAAGTGTGAATTTGGGGTGTCAACAAAATATTTCAGCAGATAGAGGTACCTGGTGCAAAGCCTGACCACCTCAGTCTTATCTCCAGGCCCTACATGAAGAAATGAGATAACCAACCCCTGCAGACTGTTCTCTGATCACCACCTTTACACACCATAACATGGGCATCCACAGCATATACATCCACACATGAAACAAATAAATAAAATGTAACAAAGAACTTTTTTAAAGGTGTGAATTTACTACTAAATTGACTTTGAATTACTCCTTTACCATAACTACTACCTCAAACTGGGAAAGTGTTTTACAACAGGTAACTGAAATTGCTGGTAAAACACATAATACTTTAAAACTTGTCCTATATGACATCAGAAAACCAACTTGTTAGGAATGCCTGGCTTTAGCTTCACTTATTTCTAACCTGCTTTTCTTAAATTATCCATACTACCTTTCACCTCTGGGCTTTTTCCTTTTCTTACTTTCACTCTTACTCCATGACTGACTCGGTGGCTGTCCCCTAACCAACGCCTCCCTTTCTCTCATTGCTCCTTCTTCCTTCTTACTCCTTATATTTATACTCTCTGTTTTCGTTTGTTTGTTGGTTGGTTGGTTTGGTTGGTTGGTTGGTTGGTTGGTTTTGTGGTTTGTTTTGGTTTTGGTTTTGGTTTTTGGAGACAGAGTTTCTCTGTGTCTTTAGAGGCTCTGCCTGGCAGCCCCACCTACCCTTGCTCCTGCCTCACTATTGGCCATTTAGTTCTTTATTAGACCATCAGGTGTATTAGACAGGCCAAGTAACACAGCTACACAGAGTTAAACAAATGCAGAATTTAAAAAAGTTATACACTTTAAAATATTCCCCAACAAACTTGTCTACATTTGCTTCTATATTCTGATGTATAATGCTAGAATCTCTGCATTTTAGACAGAGAAGGCTAGACACATAGAAGTGCAGTAAGTAAGCCCTTAGGTCATATGTCTTGCTCTTTGTACACCAAACCTCCTAGAGATATGCCAAGACCTTTCTAAAATACATAAGACTCAAGGAAGAGAAAATAATTCTAAACCTGCAGAATTTACCTATGGATCTGCACCTCATCAACTTGAGATTTCTTCATCCAAAAGGCAGGCTACTTTAAGATTTGTTAGCTTGTTGGTTGATTGGGGTTTGTTTGGTTTGGTTTTGGGGTTTGCTTGTTTTTTTTCTTAAGTTCATTAGAGTTCAAAGTATTTTCTGATTAAATTTTCCATGGAAGCCAGGCAGTGGAGGTGCACACCTTTAATCCCAGCACTCAGGAGGCAGAAGCAGGCAGATCTCTGTGAGTTCAAGGCCAGCCTGGTCTACAGAGCAAGTTCTGGGACAGCCAGGACTGTTACACAGAGAAAGCCTGTCTCGAAAAACAAAATCTCCATGGTAAAGTTCTAAGGTGTGGGTAGAATTATTTTAATGCTATCTAAAGAAGAAAGTGATATACCCAGCTACTGGATTAGCAGCAGGTATTTTATAATCTGGCTCCTTTGCCCCTCTTCTTTAGTTTACTACAAATGTGTAACATGCTTGGCTGGATTCATCTTAGATTACATACTGTACAGCTTTCCAGTATAGAATGAGAACCTATGGACTAGGGTTTATTTTCTCAAGTGGGAAGCAAGAGATTGAAAAAGGGAATGGATGAAATCAACTTCTTACAACTTACAGATGTGCACTAAACTAGAAATTGGATACAAATCAGAAAAATTCACTGGCCTTTTGGGATGAATCTGGACACAATTCCAGAAGGAGGTTGAAGACCACTAAAAAGCTTCCCTCCTACCTAATTCTGTGAGATTAAGTGACTGTACAAAGTAACCAGTCCATACATGCTCCAGTTTGCCTGGAATAATACTTTCTTTCCTAGATGAAAGGTAATAAATTTTTATAATAATTCAAAGATTTGAATATGCTTCTCTACTTCAAGTATTTTTAAAGGCCTCCACAGAACGGTCTAAAAAAATTAAACTCTTAGTAGGAAAGGCTAAAGGAATTCTCCAAGAAACTCCTCCCTCCAGCACTCGGGAGGCAGAGGCAGGCGGATCTCTGTGAGTTCGAGGCCGGGCTGGACCGACAGCCTCCAAAACAATACAGAGAAACCCTGTCTTGTAAAAACCAAAAAAAAAAAAAAAGAAAGAAAGAAAAGAAAGTTCTCCCTCACTCCCCTTCCCACTCTCTCCCTCAGTTGGTAAATTCAGACTGTGCTCTCAGCTTACTAGGTTCAAGTTCTGCTCTAGACTGCGCCCCTTTATCTACCAGCCTCAGCCTTCCCCCCCCCCCCCCCCAGTCTCTTATTAGAACAGGCCCCTTTCAGTTCCATAGCACTTCCCAGGCTCCTCATGTCCTTCCAGTAAAACTCAACCTTGAGTATGGTTTTTTGAGGCCCTTCTGCCTAATACAAACCACCCTTCCAACAATCCCCACCCTGAAGCTCTAGGAACACCAGACATCAATCTGTTTTCAAACACCCATTAAGGAGTTCTCTACATAGAAGCCAAATGTGTCTTTGTTTCTTTGCCTGGCAGGCTTGGTCTTCAAGTGACCCAATGACTGATGTTATCTCTGAAACCTTATGCAATTCCATGACACTAAGTTAGACTTTTCATCAATGTGACAAAATACCTGATACAAACAACTTAAGGGGAGAAGGATCCTGGCTTCAGTGATTTCAGTCCATTGTGGACAAGGCATATATCAGGGCAAGAAGTCTATCAGGCAGGCAGAGCATCTCACTTCCTGGCAAGGAAGAAGCACGAGGGGAAATGCACAGTTGGTACTGTTAAGTGTTTCCATTGCACCTCATCCCATCTTGTCCTCCATGTCCTCAGTGCTCAGCACAAGTCAATGGTGTGGCTTTGTCATGACTATTACTAGGAGTCATACTTTATGATGGTTGATCTATATTTTACTGTTCAGTGAATGTCTACTGGGTTAGTTTTCACAGCCTGTACAATTCTCTTTTGTGTTGTAATTATTTTTGTCAGTGGCTGTTAAATTAGCTTTAGCCTTATCACACCATATAGCCAAGAGTTCCTACAAGAATGTGAACTGCTCCACCCCCCCCCTTTTCAGCCAGGAGAATACTGATTCAAACCTAACTCTTCACTATTACTTATCCTAGCCCTGAGATTCAGAACACAGACTATCTCAGTGATGCCTTACCACTCTAGAGATCTGTTTTCTTGTGTTCAGCATACCCCAGTGGATGTCACTTGCACACTCAACAACAATATGGAAGAGAATTTGAAAGACACATTCATAAGTTGTTCCAAAATCCCTTAGGAAACAAATGAAGAGGCAAGTCAACTACATGCTGGCTTCCCCCTTTCCACTCATTTACACTTTCTAATGTCATTTCAGCAAGCCACTCGAGAAAAGATGAACTCCTATTATTGTACTGCACAATATGTCATACTGCAGTATAAGCCTAAACCAAACTACCTCACTAAAGAGAAAGCAGACATACAGGGCTTAGGTCTGATTACAAACAGCAGATTGTTTTCTACACTTTATGCATAGTAATATAATGTACACTAAACAACACTATACTAGAATGCTCCCTAGTTATACACAAATAAAGCTCCCAGGTAAAAAAAAAGTTAATTGAGTTAGAATTTTGATTGGAATTCCATTGGATCTGTAGATTGCTTTTGGTAAGATGGCAGCAGTAGC